ATTTAAATCAAAATCTTCACTCTTGCCACATCTTAGTGTCCCTTCTGCATGTTATAAGGTGCTTCCCTTCTGCTGTTTATTCCTCTTCATTTCTCTTAGCCCAGAATCTGCACTGAGAATGAGGGTAAAATCTAAGAAATATAGTCCACTGAGGCACATACTCAGCAAATAACACAACAAATATTACTTCCAACTCAACAAAGAAATGCCTGGTGTGTTGCAGGCACCAGGGTATAAGATCCTCTGTCTTTGTTCAATATAACTGTTAGGTTTAGGGCAGGGGATAGGAGGACTGTGATGCTGGAATAAAACAGAAATACTTTACATTTTAGATGAAAAATAATCCCTCTTTAATGATTGAGGTCATGAGAGTTGGAACACCCTAGAATTCAGCCCACACTAGAATTCTCATACTGCCCCGTTCCAGCTGAGTGACTTTGAGATCACATAAACTCTATGCACATATGTTGGTCCCTACTCCTGCGACATCACAGGGTTTCTGTGAGGATGCTCCTAAGTAATGCATGTGAAAATGGTTAACATTAAAATATTGTGCACAATAAAATATTGAGCACTGATGTTGAATAAATATTGTGTTTAAATAACATGATCTACATTTTTCCGCTCACTTTAGGTGGCAGAAGCAGGAAAGCTCTACTGTGTATTACACGCATGTGACACTCAGCTGGGAGGTTTTCTCATTTAAACTTATAACACCTAAATGAGTATAAAATTAATATCCTGATTTTGAAGCTAAAGAAAATGAAGTTCCAAGAAGATGGGTAACCTACCCTCTTTTGTATATTTAATCTACTGATTCATTCAACAAATATTAGGTGCTATTGTTCTAGGACAGAGGTTGGCTATAAACTATACCTCACAGGCAAAATCCTATCAAACATCTGTTTTGCAAATAAAGTGGAGCAAATAAAGTTTTATTGGAACACAGTCATACCCATACTATGGTTCACACTACATTGGCAAAGTTGAATAACTGCAGCAGAAATCACATGGCCTGCAAAGAAAATAAAATATGTACTCTCTGGGCTTTTATATAAAAAAATGCAAATCACTCTTCAATGAGCTTGGGATACAGCAGTAATGAAAATGGGAGGAAAATTCTTTGCTTTTTGGTGATTACATTTTAGAGGAGGGCAATAGTCAATGCAATGCACTTAATTAAAAATTTCATCACTTCCTCAAAGTTCCAGAGGCCAGAAGTCTGAAATCAAAGCATCAGCAGGACCATACTTGCTCTGAAGACTCTAAGGGAACATCCTTCCTTACCTCTTCCAGCCTCTGGTGGTTCCAGGCATTTCTTGGCTTGGGGCTGCATAACCATAATGTTGTGTTTCTTTTCCTCTGTCTCTCACAAGGACATTTGCCATTGGATTCAGGGTTTGCCCAGATAATCCAGGATGATCTCATCTCAAAATCCTTTGTTACATCCACAAAGTCTCAAAGTCTCTTTTTCCAAATAAAGTCACTTTTATAGGGTCCAGATAGAAATATTTGGGATGGGCACCATTCAATCCTCTGGGGAAGCAGAAGACTGGAAGTTTTGTTTTATTTTTAAAAACGTATGTATGTATGTATGTATTGAGATGGGGTCTCCTCATTCTCTCACCCAGGTTGGAGTATAGTGCTATGATCAGGGCTTACTGTAGCCTCAACCTCTGGGGCTCAAGTGATCCTCCCATCTCAGTCTCCTGAGTGTCTGAAACTAAACACACGGCCCTCTATGCCCAGCTACTCTTTTTTATTTTTTGCAGTGAAAGGGTCTCGCTATGTCATCTAGGCTGGTCCTGAACTCCTGGGCTCAAGTGACCCTCTTGCCTCATCCTTCCAAAGTGCTGGTATTATAGGCATGAGCCACCATGCTCAGCCTAAGTTCTGTTTTAGACATGGACTTCTCTTATTAACTAAGTGGAGATGTTGAGTAGGCAACTTAATATATGGACCTGGAATTCAATCACATGATGGTAGAAACCAAGAGTCCCAACAAGTTTTTTTCTCTATTCATGCCTGCTCAATTATTATGAAATCTCCAGTTCACAGAAACAACTAGTAAAATGGTCCTTGATATAAGGTAATATGATCTGCCTATGCCATTCCCGATGTTGATGTCCTTGGGTATAGCAAAAACAGCCCCTTCCTTTCTCCTTTAAAAGATGATGTGGATTTGACTGAGCAAGACAAGATTCTTAGGTTAGAAGGAAAATGGCATTGTTTATTTCCCTCTGGTGATTATATCCAGCTTAGCAAAGCCCAGAAGACACTATAAATGCAATGGTTTGATTGTTTCTGGTTCCCACCTTGTGAAATACCACAAACATTTACAAGCTGGGGTTAAGGGTCTAACTAATAGTTTGGAAGAGCAACTTTCTCTACCCCCCAGAGAATAAATGGCTTTGCTAGCAGCATTTTCTAACCCATAGAGATAACTAGCTGACAAGAAATCTGAGCATTAGGTCACTTGATACTGAGTCAACACAGAAACTCCGCGAAATCAAAAACTTCAAAGCTCAATATATTAACGAGTTTCTGGAGTCACTGGAGACCTCTTGCTGGACAGAGAAAAGATCTATCGAAGTATCTTCTCTTTAATATAAAGCGAAAATTGATGCTGTCTGGGTGTCAGGTATAATTATCTTAATTTATTGGGGAATATGTAAGGGACTGCTGAAAGTACAAATGATCCAATTATAGGTTTAAATGACTTTGGGGTTCCTTGTTTCTCCCAATCTTATTCATAAAGTATTTTCACTTTCAGAAATCAAGAGTTATTTATGTAGGTTTGGGGGCTTATTGATGTAGCTAAAAAGCTCCCAGAGGTGGAATTAGAACTGTTTTCTGAAAAACAATGAAACTGATATAGTGAAAATCTAATTTAAATATTAGCATTTGAGTCAAAGCTAATTTTATTAAGTAACAAAAGAATGAATTACTTGGACAGAATAACTCCAGAGGATGATCAAATGTGGCTCCTTCCTCCAAAAGGTTTCTGGCTCCATTTTTCAGAACCTGCAGGGATAGAAAATATCCTCATCCAATGGTGTGTTCAGTGACATATATGAGTTTGGAACTTCCCTAAGCTCCTATCAGATAGGAAACATTAGGAAATCATTGAAGAGCCTGGTTTATTTTCTCAATCTGGGCAACAAACGACACTGAATCTGCTCTGCCACCTTATTCTTCCAGAACAGAAGTGAATACAATTGAGGGGACTCAGAAAGGTTGGGCATAAGAGAAAGAGGACAAAGTAACATGTCCAGTCTCATAACTATTACTCCTTGTTCTAAAGGAGATACTATTGTGCCATTGCTAAAATAGTAGGAGTGTGCATTAGAAGAGCATTTGTAAATGAATATGTATTCTACAGTTTACCTCTTCTCTGACTTTAGGCAAGTTATTCAACCCTTCTAAGCCTTGTGTCTTCAAGTGATAAAAAATAGTGCATATCTCATAAGGCCTTTGTAAGGGCTAAATGTAAAGAATATATCACCTAGCACAGGGTAAGTGATTTTAATTGCAGCTACAATTATTATCTGAATAATAAAAGCAGGGCTATAGATAGATGCTGACAATTCCAAACTTTTCTCTGTGAGCCAATATCCATTGATTAATTCTCAGACCCAGTCACCCCAAACAAGGGACTTTGATGAAAGGCCAAATCATCTGAGAGTGTGATCTGAAGTTTGTTCTCCTATTAGTGAAAGTTGCTTTTCTTCATGTTTATGATTTGGCTGAGATCTAAAGGCCTTGGGGCACCTGGCGCAGAGAACTCAAAGTTATTATTGAAAACTGAAAATTTTGATGAACCTAATAGCCAAAGGCAGATCAAGTCCACATGGCATCAAAGTAGGGCAATGAGAAAACCAGGGTTGTGATAATAGTCAAGTCTCAGATCTGTGGTGAGAAGTAACAGAATGAGTCAGAGTACAGGAGAAACAAACCATGCCAACACAAATGTTGATTTAGATCCTTTTTAGAAAGAAAATGTCTAGCAGTGACCATTCATTTTGAAGTCATTTCTGCTACCAGAAGCCAAAAGCCAAATATATCTGATTAGGATCCCACCTAGATGGGCAGTATTGCCAGATCCTACCCACTGGGATTCCCTTACTCTAGCATCTACTAAGAAAGAATTTTAGTCTTTAGGAAAGAAAAAAAATGCTCCCACTTCCATAATCTTGGAATGTCTTGGCCAACTCAGCCCCTTAATCTGAGGTCTACCTTCCTGTACCTTAAGGGACTTTCACTGCCTTACTGGAGTAACTTTGGTAGTCTTTAATGTCTATTAAGAGGAGATGGAAGTGAGGATTGTGTGTGTACGTATGTGTGTATGTGTGTGTGTGCATGTGTGTACATAGCACATGTGTGTTGGTTGGTGAAGGAGACACAAGGCCATCTCAAATCCTGAGAATGAGGCTGGCTGACACAAATTCCAACAGCCAACTGGTAATAATAGACAACCACACATTCATTCCTTTAACAAAAGTGTCCAATCAAATGGAATATGAATTCAATTACTCCATATTAATTGAATGCCCACTCTTGCCAAATTGGGAGGGAGGGGCAGGGGAAATTAGGAGGTTATTATAATAACACAAGTGAATGACAATATTATTTTAGGTACAACTGGTAGTGGAGAAGGTCATGAGAAGTAATTGAAACCAGGTTATATTTTGAAGACACTGTTGAAAAGATTAACAGATTGAATGTGGAGTCTAAGAGAGAAAGGAAACTCAAGATGACTCTGTTTCCTGGCCCAGGCAACTGGTAGGATGCAACTTCCAATCACTGAGACAGGACAACTGTGGGAGGAGCAGATTTGGGAGCTTAGGATTTAAGAGTTATGTTTTGGCCATATTCAGCCTGAGATAACAACTTTATATCTAAGGGGGATGTGTTGAGTAGGCAGCTGGGTCTATAAGAAGGATTTGGGAAGAAAAGTCGTGAGTTGTAGATACAAATTTAGAAGTTGTCAGAGTTAAGATGGCTTTTAAAACCCTGAAACTGGGGAAGATAACCTAGGGAGTAAGAGTCGAACCAAAGAAGAGATCTAAAGTCTGGGTTTTGAGAGATGAGAAAGAATGAGCAGAAAAAAATTAGACTGATAATTGAAATGAAAGAAAAACTAAGAGAGGTAGCAAAGAGAAGAAAGAGCTTCAAGAAGAGATGGATCAGCTCTTTTAATATTGATAGACCTAATGTGATGAGGAATCATCATGAACTTCTGGATTTGGTATGATGGAGATAGGCAAGGACTGTGGCAAGACCCTTTCAATGCAGGAGAAACCAAACTACTGATTAGTGTGAGCTCAAGAGACTGTAAGTAGAGGAATTAGAAATAGCTAATATAGGCAACTCTTTTTGAGGAATTTTTCTATAAAGTGAAGACACTGACGAAGGAATCAAACCACTGGCTACTTTCCCTAGAAAGTAAAAATGATTCAGGATTCCCAGCAGGCTCCAGAACTAAATTTGACAACACTTTAGAGATCTTGCGCTCAGCCCCACTGGGATGGTGGAAAAGGACAGAGATAAAAGTAAGGCACAATAGCAGTCCTCAGAAAGACTTTAGCCGGAGAATATATTTATGATATCAAGGTCAGAAAAAATCATTATTGTATCTAGTCCTTGAAATGTCCCTGTTACTTAAGTACAGCTGACCATGGGCATCTGTATATTTAACTTTGGGGGAGAGATTTTGAATATTTAGAAATCACTTTGAGGGTTAAAGTTGTGTGGTCATTTGCAGTTTTGTTGAAGAGAAAACTGGAATATGTGTTCTGCTAGGCTAGTACAAAAAAGAATCATCCACATACTCAGCCCACTTCCCAGCATCTATGTCTTACTCAGCTTTGTGGTTGTCAACTGTTAGTTCATGATAATATGCATCAAGTCCTAGGTAAGTCGCTTAAGATTTTCTGTCATACTTTACAGAAAAGAAAACATACCATTATGTTCTCTGGTTGAGTAACACACTATTGAATGAAATATTTGCTCTTATCTTTTCAGAATTTTGGCTGAAGACCTACATGTAAAAACAATACAACATATCCCTAGATTATTTTTCTCTCTCTATGGCTACCTATCTGGGCACTATCACGAATGATGCAGTAGTTATTCTGGAGTAGGAAATTAATGACGAACTAACTGATTTAGGGGAGACAAGTAGTAATAGATGCCATTCTAACTCAGAAGGCAACATACCTACTTCATAAATACAGGAAAACCTAGTTAAAATACACATAATCATACAAGTTGCTGTTTTTCTCAGAATCAGAGACAGGTTGTTAATGGCAAGACAACAGGTTTTCATGATACGTATCTGATGAGTTATGGAAATAAAGTTAAATCCAAACACAAACTTACAAGATATGACTCATTAAAACAACAGAAGGATCCAAACACACAGCAAAGCATAAAACACACAAACAAAATCAGAATACAAGAAAGAGAGTCAAGAAAATTACAAAGGTAAATTCAGTATTGGCAAAACTAATTAAAGACCATGCAATACTTTGATCTGTGGCAATTGTAAAAAAAAATTTGAGTAGATACTTACTTTAAATAAACATTTTTAAAAGAATTGCAAGATAAATCCATGCTACACTAGAAGACAGAAGTGGCAATTCAATGACTGAAATCCTCCCTAACCCCCCACCATCATCACCTTCTGCTTCTGGTCTATGTAAGACTAGAAATTCAAATGGCTATTGAATAGAGTTGGTAGGAGAATTTTCAAACAAGTGAATTTTTTTTTTCTTTCTCCTCCCACCCGCTGAGAAAGAGAGTTGGAGGGGGGTAGTGCCTCCCCTCTATCATGCTAAGAGAAAGAGAACTTAAAAATTGGCTTGGCACCAGAAAAGAAGTCATGTTAACACTGGTTTAATGTTCTTTGAGCAACAAAAATTTATAGGCCTGCCACATGCTGCTACAGGAACAGAATAAAACTAGGGAGAAAAATATTGAAAGAGTCTGATATGTGTTCCCAGGAGTTTCAGGGCACAAATGAACACACAGACTGGTTACTGTGAAAGTCTTAAGGGGGAAAGCTGGCTGGATTATCCATAGTCTACACTTTAAGGAGAAGGGGATTTTAACTTGGGTGAGACACTTGTCCATGATTTGGCACCATAAGAATGTATGAGTGTCCTAAGGGTCAAGTAGCCACGTTTGAGTTGTCTTAATAGGCTTATGCCAAAGATGACACAATGAGATGCTATACAGATTCTGCAACAGACAGAAGTTAATTGAGGGTGTCAGGAGTTTAGTTGGAGAATGCATCTATACCAGGGAGCTATGCATGACAGGTGTCTACACAAGAGCATTTTTGAGGATTCACCAATACATTCCACAGAAAAGCCAAAAACGTATGCCTGACATAAGACAGTATGCATCCAACTACAAGAAGACTACAAACAATTAAATAAAATTTTTCTCCTACTATTTAGGACCCTCCTTTTGTCTCAGCCTCAGAAGAACAAGAAGGAGGAGATATGAAGGCTCCAGAGGAAGAATGACAAAACAGTCCTTGCTACTTTTCCATCTGCAGCCTTGACCTCCTTACAAAAGAGAAGGCATTCCATGTCACGAGAAATGCAGCTGCAAGACTCAGGGAATGCAGAGAATAGATCACAAATTCTGTTGCCTTTTACTGGAGTCCTGTTCTCTTCTATGATTTTAATAAAAGTACCAAGGAACAAATGGTGAAGAAATATGGCACTGTGTTCAATATTTGATCCTTATTAGCTTGAATGTAATCTCATTGGAAAAGCAGGCATTAACACCCACTGGAGGAGCACTGGTGGAAAGCCTAGTCATTCTAAGCAGATTCTCATAACTCTGAATATTTATTTTAGATGACAAAATTATTGATAAGTTGCAAACACACATAGGGCTGTATTGAGTGTCTCCAAAAGGGTCTGGAGAAATGGAAAGCCAGTAGCAACTTGTTATAATGTTTTGGTGGGGCCAACTACATTGTCATAACTGCTATTGCAGCATCTATTATTCTACAGATTCACATCTTTATTTTTCTTTAGATTGTTGATACTCGTAGGGCTAAGCAAGGAGAATGGTTCACTTTTTTGGAACTTTAAAATTCCAACTGTAAAAGACCTACTTGCAATTTTCAGTTAATACTAATGGTGATTATAATAGTATATCCCACATCAGATCAGATAGTCACTTATTCTTTAAATGTATGCCATCCAGAGGCATCCATTCACCAAGAATTTGTTAAGAACTTAGATTGTTTAGCAATTCTGCCAATCATCAAAGACTCTGTGAATAATAGGCTCTATATGACTTCAAAGAATTCCCAGCCTCATTGGAAAGCCAACCAAGTAAACTGTAAATTTTATTCAGTTTATTAAGTGCCATACAAAAATATACAAACAACACTCAACATTTATTCTTTTCTTATGTATCTGTGAGGCATTGACATCAAGTTGTCCACTGTAGAATCATGCTATGCTGTTGTAAGAAAGAGTTATTCTTAGGAAGAAGCTGCCCACATAGATGCTACATTTCCCAGTCACACTCAAACATAAGTAAGACCATGTGACCTGTCCAATAGAATATGGGCAGAAACCATGTATGTCACTTCCAGGCCTGGACCATTAAAATCTATCATTATATTCTTCCTTAACCCTTACACATACAAATATACACCACTACCATCACGTTATATTTGTGTGTGTATATACATATAATATATGCACACAAACCAGTGGAAACCTCAAAGTTACATGTTAAAAATGGCAAATCTTTCATAATTCTGGTCCCTGAATTACTGTATGAAGCAAAGCCTACCCTTCATCATCATTGATTACATTATGGAGTAAGAAATAAATTTCTGTATCATAAAACAACTGAGATTTGGGGCTTATTACTTAAAGTTGCTTCTGTTACCATTATTAACACACCACAAAGCATTAGTTATAAATGCTTGATGTGACTAACCTTTTAAATGAGCCATAACAACCCTATGAAGAGGATACTGTACTATCTACATTTTACCAGTGAGGGAACCACGGTCCAAGAGAAGCAATTTCATTCACTAGTAAATAGTGAAGGCACTTTATTATTGAGGAATGGTGAAGGATGGAGTCGTTACAGACCCTGACCTTGAAGAGGTTTCAATCTCAAGGCACAGAAAATATAGATATACAAAGTCTAAAATATAAAAATAAAAACATAAACAGGAAACAAAGTCTCATCTGTGTACTTCCAGATTGTCCCAAGTACTTAGAATATTCAATGATAATTCAATGATAAAAAGTTAGAGTAATTACAAAATATGGCTTAGAAAAAAATTAATTCAGAAAACATTAAATGATTTTAAAAGTTTTGAATGAACAGGATATACATTTTAAAACAATGTAGTTTTAATGTTTTCTAAGAGCTCAGATACTATTAGGTGTATTATAATTTGTTTTAAATTCAATATTATTTCAATAACAGTGTTTTAAACTAATTGAACCAAATATAGAATATTAAAATTTTTGTTTAATTACATAACCATTTATTTATAGATGCATATCTACCTTATTCAAAAAAAGAAGAGGAATCTGAGGGAGCTTACAGAAAAGTAAGCAATTAAATATTACAAAACTTTAAAATAAACAAGAAAATTGGTGTGAAAAGACAAAGGCAAAAAAATAAGGCAAAGACAGGATTATGCAAAAAATTATAATATCTGGCACACTTTCATGAAATTAGGTATACTTACAACTCATTTCCCAGAGCAAAAATGAAATTATAATTAATTACTAGATTCACAATAATACTGAGAGGAAGTCTAGTCTTTCTTGGATTCAGACATGAAGGAATTTTATTTTGAATCCTCACATAGAAGAAACTATGTAATATAACAAACTGAGGCCTCAATACAATGCCTACAAGACGTACATTTACAAAGTTCATATGGCTGTTTTCTATATAATAAGATCCTTAGTTTCTAACTTTGATGCCATTACAAACCCCAGATCAGCTTATTTAAGGCAGTTACAAAAGGAGCCAAAATAAAGCAGTCCAGGCACACAGTCTTCTAGTGGCCTAAGTCAAGTTCAGTTACTTCATTCCATCTGCTTACTGGCAGATGATATTACCTGCTTGGAACATGATTAGCCTGAGAGCCTTGACAGAAGCCTGTAGTTATTGATTAATTACCATAGACTGGAGAGAGGGGCAATCGGAGAAGGAATGGAGATTCCAATCCCTGAGAAAAGAAATTAGGACCCATGGTGACCAGACAAAAATGAATAAATCAAACTGATGACAACTGAATTTACGTAAAGGTAAGCATATAATAATAATAAACAATTAAAAAAGTCACCGTCTTCTATTCCCCCTTTATATAGAAAGAATGAATGAGCCACTGAAGGATCAGGGCATGTATTTTCAATTAGTTGTTATTGAAGAAGAGGATTTGCTGTTCCACTCCACTCCTTTCCTTGCAATTTACAGCAAGGGGTAGGGATATAACGATGAATCCAAATGCTGTTAATTAAGTCATATTATAGCCTTAGCTCATTTGTATAACTGATTGCATTTTATGTCAAGGAGCAGGAAAGAAGTCTCCTAGCCACAGGAAATATCATGGTAGAAACTCCAAATGGGAGCTATGTAGGATGAAAGGCATAGGCCAGGTAAGCAGCTATTAGGGAATATGGAGGTATAGCTAATTAGAAGTGTATTTAATGACTCACCTTAAAATGTTTTGTCCTCAAACCCATTGCTCTATACCTTGCTTCTTTTGAGCTTTTAGTGCTGGGAAAGAATGCTAAGAAGGTATCCAGATTGTGACAACATAATGGTTTTATTTTAATGGAAATTGGCTTTAATTCTTAAGGAACAGTAGAGTTTTGAGGTACCATGGAGCTGGAATAGTGCTGTTAGAATCCAGAGGACTCCATGTCAAACTACAGCAATAGCAAAATAAATGGAAGACTATCTAGGGCTCCTCTCTCTCAGGAAAGAAGATTGGGATCAACCAGTAGGAAAAGACCCCTACCTACTAGAAGTGATGGCTAAAGAAATCAATGAATCAATGAACAAGGAGGAAAGCCATACATACCAGCTGTTCATTCATTAATTTGTTCAGCATATTTATTGAATATCTACTTTGTGCCAGGAACTATTCAGGTTATCCTTACAGAAATGAGGGTTATATATTAAATTTCCTTTTCTCACACACTGTTAGAACATCTAAATTTGAGGTACACTCTGATCTTCTTGTGTCATTTTTAATAGTCTCCTTTTCTATAAAGTAATTTTAATTGCAGTTGTTTTGCTTAGCTTAATTTTTGCTCCAGTGACAGCTTGCCACCTTATCCTAAAAAATGGAATGTTAAGATGGAATTATGACAAAATCAGGAGATATTGTAAACTATAAGATTGGACAACAGTTTTTTAAGGAGGATCAGAAAATTACCTCTGCTTGCTGTAACTAGATGTAACTTTAAGTTGCCATCCTACTGAGGAAGGAAAGAGCATGTTGCTGTTATGTACAAGAAAGTTGTAGTGCTTGAAAAGAGAATCACTGGAGTTCTATAATTACAAAGAAGGGAACTGTATGACCTGGAAGCTGGGGATGAAATGGTTGGACAAGAAGTCTCTAAAAAATCTTGCTGAGAAATGAATACTAATGCATACTCAGAAAGTACTCTGTGGAAGGTCAAATCATGTTTCAAGCTAAATCAGTATTGATGCCTTTTTCAAAATTGGTTGGATTAGGGAGAGTTTCCCAATTTGGGGCCATCAAAGAAATAGTGGTCCATATTCAGTGATGGTTAATCAACCCAACTTGCCTTGAAACTAAAGGTAAATAAGTAGAAAGCAAAACAAACACACCTGAAATGACATCATGAGCATTATGGGAATGACTGAAACAGAGTAGCATCATGAGCATTACTGGAATGACCACAACAGAGAAGCTTCCCTATTCTCACTTTGGGCAAATAAAGTAGCACAACTGTCACAAATGAAGGGGCTAAACTAATACAATGGCATTTGGCAGACAGGTGTCCCAAAGCCTTAAAGAAGACACTATGTAATAATAACATAATAAGCTCAGGACTTGATATCAGGAATATGAGTTGGAAAAAAAGTCAACCTGAGTACCAGATTTGTGATATTTTCCAAATATGTACTCTGAACATTTTATTTATTAGGAAAACATAATTTATACTTCTTATGATGCTCAAAACTATGTTGATTTGCATAAAATACTGAAGATTCTTAAGACAGAAAATTATAAATGCCAAGCACAAGCAAGAATAAATGCTGCAATGTTATGTTAAATGGAAGAGCCTACGAAGTAGTATATTCAGAATGATTGCCACTTGGGGAATATAGAAATGTGGAAAACTGAAAGAAAATACTAAAAAATGGAAATTATGATAGAGTCATGGGATTTTATGCATTTTTTATTTTTTAAAAATAAATCAATATCATTTTATATTGTTATACCAAAACTTAGACTAAAATAATGTGTATAGAAAAACTGGCCCTCACACTGAAAGAAAGAAGTGATTAAAATGGAAAAACCCCTGTGGTGCTGTGGACATGTGAGATTTTTAATAGTATAAAATGGTAAGATAGAATAAAATCAACAATTTTCAGAAGGAAGGGGTTTTCAAGATGGACCCAACCTGAAACTCTTTACTTTCATCTGTACCTGTTATTTCAGTTCAAGTCAGAACACAAAACAGAAA